TACAATGTGGAAAAATAAAGGACTTAAGATGACTTTTAGATTTTTTTTTTTTTTAAGATTTTATTTATTTATTCATGAGAGACAGAGAGAGAGACAGAGGCAGAGGGAGAAGTAGGCTCCCCGCGGAGCAGGGAGCCCGATGCGGGACTCGATCCCAGGACCCTGGGATCATGACCTGAGCCGAAGGCAGACGCTTAACCGACTGAGCCGCCCAGGCATCCCAACTTTTAGATTTTTTACCTGATCCCTTAGGCAGATGGAATTGCCAGTTTAGAGAATAAAGTCTATGAGAAAAACAGGTTTGGGGTAAAGGAGGATACTTGGGAATAAGTTTGGGGCATGTTAAGTTAAAATGCCTGTATGACATCCAGGTGGAAAAACAAATAGGCATTTGGATATAGAAATTTGGAATTCAGGGAATTCATCTGTCCTTCTTAATAAATATTTGCTGATCACTTATGCTATATCAGAAACTGTGAAACATGCTGTAATTACTTATTTGTTTTTTAGTTTTTTTTTTTTTTTTAAGATTTTATTTATTTGACAGAGAGAGAGAGAGGGCACAGCATGGGGAGCACCAGCAGAGGGAGAGGGAAAAGCAGGCTTGCCAAGCAGGGAGCCCAATGTGGGGCTCGATACAGGGCTCGTTGCGGGGCTCGATCCCAGGACCCCGGGATCATGACCTGAGCTGAAGGCAGACGCTTAACGACTGAGCCACCCAGGCGCCCCTGTGATTACTTACTTGAAAAGGAAACACTCCCTGTGTTTTAGGAATTTATAGTTAAAGAGGAAAAAAGAAACATAAGCAGGTATTTCCAATAATGTGGGATAAAGGTTTTCATAATGCTGCAGGAATGTGTAGAGGTGAGAGGAGAGGTGGTATGAAAGGTCTTATGTGGTACTGGGTTAAGAAATAATTCCTGGAAGTGTTGAATTGCAGAGCCCTAAATATGTGTAAGAGTTAGCTAAGTCAAGAAAGGGATCTAGATTTCACAATAGTTCTCCTATCATTTTATTTGAGATTCAGGTAGATAATAATTATTTTTAAATGGGCAACAAATTTTCAGATCCGTTTAAGCAAGAATTTTTTTTTAAGTTTTACAACAGTAAATATACATATATATATATATTTTTTTCTTGAGATCAATATTATTTCCACACTGTCTCTCCCATCTTCATGGTACATTCACATAAATTCATTCCAGGGTAATGTGTTCTTTTGAAATAAAGCAAAACAAAGAGGGACGCCTGGGTGGCTCAGTCAGTTAAACATCTGTCTTCGGCTCAGGTCATGATCCCAGGAGCCTGGGATGGAGTTCCAAATAGGGCTCCTTGCTCAATGGGGAGCCTGCTTCTCCCTCTCCTTCTGCTGCTCCCCCTGCTTGTGCTCTCTCTCTCGCTGTCTCTCTCTGTCAAACAAAAAAAATCTTAAAAAAAAACCCACAGAGAAGGTGGATTTGGCTTTGGGAGTTGTGTTTACAAAGGAAATTCTGCAAGACAGGATGTATTACATATATCATGGAATAACTTCCATACATTTACGGAAAGTTATCCTTATTCTGCATTTTGACCTTGTGATTTTCTATAAATTTTTATTTTATTTTAAATGCATTATCATATGTGTAATTATAGTATAATAAGTGAATGTAGTAGTGTGCCAGATCCTCTTCCAGGACCCAAGTCTCATTTTCCTGGCTCCAGAAGCATTTTCTTCTTTGAAGTTGCCCTATGCTGAAGGAGTCTATGCCCCAAGGTTAGCACTGCTCCACACGGTCAGCACATAGCCAATGACTATTCAGTGTCAGAGTATAAAGGCCTGTCTGTGCACCTTGAGTCAAGACACCTCTGAAGAATCATCTCAGTTCCATCTCAGTTCCATCTCAGTGCATCAGAGTTTGACTTCTCCTTCAGCTCAACTCTGCTTCCTGCACTCCCTTAGAATTTTTGTTCCTAAAGATGCTATGCAATAAACCTTCTGTAAACAAACTTCTGGCTTGGTGTCTATTTCCTGACAACTACCTGTGATAAAACAGCATTATTTACATAATCAGCAGTAGAGGCTGTTGTAGCAAATAGCATTTAAAATCCCCAATTAGAGTTAAGAATGTCCCCTTTGCTAAAAGTGCTATTATAATTTTGGACTAATCCAATAAAAATATCCTTCATTTCCAAATCCTGCCAAGCTCACATGTACCCTAAACTGTGAGAGGGCGGACTCTGTCTGGATTTTGATTCCCAATTCCTCATTACTAAGTGAATGAGTAGGTGAATGCATAATGACTGAAGGGAGAGAATGACCTATGTCATCCAGATCAAAGACCCTGCCAAATATTGCCATTGGTTTTTGATCTGCTCAACTGTCTTCTGAAAGTTTGGACCTAGATTTGGGCATCCTCTTTAAGAAGGACAACTAGAGAGATTACAGAATATGAGAAAGATGATTCAGATTATGGACAGCCAACCAGCTAATCTCACATATAAAAAAGATTTAAAGAAGTAGATTTAAGACTAAGAAGCTGAAGTCACATTGGACATAAAAAGATACGAGGAATGAAAATTATAAAGCTGCAGGACCTGCTCATTAGCAACAGAGCTGTCTCAACAATAGAAAAATATATCCTGTGAGGTTTTGAATACACAGGACAAACTGGACTAAAGGTGACCAGAAGCCAGGGATATTGTGGAAGAGGTCCATGCACTGTGTTGAGATTCAAACAGCTGACAGCCAAAGACTTCTGCTCTGATTTTGCAACATTGTGGAGTTAGACAAAGAAGGGTTTCAATTTGAAGTTCATATCAAACAACATGATAATCTACACAGTAGGAGAAACATGTGAACCAAATATATTCATGTGAAATAAATGGATAGATAAATCTGTATACTAGTTGGATAGTTGTAGATATGGATACAGATGTTTTATCTGTAAGACAGCACCAGAGCTTTAATTCATTTCTTTTCACTGTTTTAGAGAATTTCATTGTATGCATGTAGGACAATGTATTTATCATTTTCTTTGTGGGAAGGCCATATACTTTTTGTTGTTAGTACACACAGTGCTGCTATGTATATTTTTGTGCATGTCCCTAGGTGCACATGTGTAAGAATTTCTGTAGGATCCATAACCAAGAATGGCATGGCTAAGTCTCAAAGTGTGAGCATCATTTTTTTTAGTAGGAAATGCCAAATTATTTGCCAAAGTCATTTTATCAATATTCACTCTCCCCAGCAATGTGCAAAAATCAGTTGCCTCCAGGCAGCATCAGCACTTGCCTACCTTCTGATTTTCTACCAGTATGTTGGGTCTATAACATACCTCCAAAGGGATTTTACATTTCACTGTGCTGATTATTGACAAATTGAGGGTCTTTTCATGGGATTATATATTATCTCTCCTTCCTCTTCTGAGAAATGCCAGTTAGTTGGTCATAGTCTATGTGTGTGTTGCAAAAATCTTCTCTAAGTAAACCAAAAAACCCTAAAATCATCTTCTTATTAAGAGGAGTTCTTTATATATTCTAGATCTAATCTTCATTAGTTGTATGTGTATAAAATATCTTCCTCCAGTTTGCAGTGTGTCTTTATTTGCTTAATAACCTTTTGGAGAAACTGAAATGTTAATTTTAATATATTCATATTTATTTATCTTTCGTGGGTTGCAATTATTAAAGTCTTGTTTAAGAAATTATTTTTTTATGTCAAGGTCTTCAAAACATCCCTTTATATTATTTTGTAATTCTGTCTTTATAATTTAGACATTTATGTTTAAATTTTTAACCCAGCTCAATGATTCCTGTTAATAGTGTGAGGTAGAGATTCAAATACATTTTTTATGGACAACTGATTGTTGTGGAAAAATTTATTGAAGATGTTTTTTCCTCTACTACCCAGCAGTGTACCTGGTCATTAACCAATATCCCCCCAGACCTAGGTCTGTTTCTAACTTCACAGTGTCTTTTTCTCTTCATTATTTCACCTCCATTCCCCCCCTAGACAAATTACTTTAACTTTACAATACTTCTTGATATTTGGTAATGTCTTAACCATTCTTGATGTCTGGAATGTACTGTTTATTGTTTATTCTTGTACTTTGCTCTTGCATACATGTTTTAGAATCAATTTATCATTAAAAAAAAAAAAGCCCTGTCGGGACTTTTACTGTAATTGTGTTCAAGTTATAATATATTTGGGGAAATTACATTTTTTCAACATTGCATCTTCTAATCTGTAAGCATTATATATGACTCCATTTATTTAAATATTTTCTAATGTCTTCTAATACAGATCTATACTTCTTTTTCATAAGGGGCTTACAAAGTCTATATTTTTTTAAAGAATCACAATTATTTTCAATTTTTAATGGTATAGCATGCTTTTGAATTTTTTACATTTTTAATATACGTATTTTACAGAAATGCAATTTATTGCATATATTTATTTTATATCCAGCAATTTCCTAAATTATCTTATTGATATTTTTCATAGCCAAAAGTCCTTAGAAATGGTAATCTGACCATTTTAAAGGAAAGTTTAAAAGCCTATGAGAAATGGAGGCAAAAAGAAAAAAGCTTGAGGATATGTAAGCGCTCCAACCAACATCATTCCAGTGATGGGAAAAATTTACAATAAAATCTTTATGAATGGATTTTTACAAATCCAGCTTTTGTGTTTTTCACTGGGATGTGTCTACTGCTAAGAAATTGTGTTCTGCCTTATTCAGATACCATGTTCTTTTCTTGCTGGAATGATGCTTTGGGGTTTATGATAGATAGAAAAGTAAAATCTAACACCTTTCCCCCCACATCCATCCCTACTTCAAAAGAAACTGCTCTGTTTGATCTTCTTCCTGAAGTTCCTATTGACAGGACATCAATCATTTTATTTGTATACCACTTTTCACAGTACTAAAAGTGCTTCACAGAACTAGGAACATCCCAGTTCCCAACACAGACTGACAAATTATTTGTTCAAAAGGCAAGCTTATCAAGCCTGCACTGCTTACCTTTCTGTGTGCAGAGCTGTATTGGCTGAATGTGAAATAAGGCTGGAATCTGGTGCCCATATCATTAGACAAGCAGAGGTGCTGTGGAAATCTCTGCAGTGGTCTCTTGGAAATGCAGACTGTAGGCTCCTGGGGGTCTAAGAGGCCATATGTACCTGCGGGTAAGAGGACATGCTAGTTTCTCCAATGGCCTTTCATAGATAATACACGGTCAGGAGACCCAAATCCTGGGCATGAAAATTATATCATGTAGACTTAACCATTCCAGGGGCTGTACTTGGTAACCAAGTTTGCAGTTAATTTCAAATAAAACTGGACACAAATATCATTTATTAGAAAAATGTATAATGATGCTTTTGAAAACCATTCTTCAACATGGCTCTTCTGCTCTGGTCAGGTTTATCTTTTTACTCCCTCTATAGGCATTTCATCTTCTTTCCTCTTCTACCCTATCCATGAGACCATTCTTCCCAATTATTATTAGCACACTTTGTTTGTCTTTCCAGTAATCAGATTACACAGCATGATTCCTCTCTGTAATCCAAATAATCCAACCTAAATTTATGTTTCCCTTATATTTTTTCTTCAATAGTACTTTAGAGATATATTACACGTGTAGCTATGCTGTGGTAAATGTGTATGAGTTTCAATACTGGGCCAGAATAACATGATCATGTGAATTTCTATTTGAGTTCTACAGGCCAGCTGTGTAATCATGGTGGAATAAAAGTAGCATCACACATACACACACACAATAATATGTATATGAAGTTATTATATTATTGTTTATATTTGCTTTGGAAAATTCCCACATTTTATATGCTTAAGTTCTTCTGATTAAACACTTGAAAGCAGAGGATGTACATCTTTGTTCCATAATTTTTCCTAGAGATGTAATAAAGGTATAAATACAAGCATATATATATATATATAACCATTTTTGAGTGACTGAAACTACTAAGAAGTATGATAATTTTAGTTTGTAAGTTCTAAATAGTAAAGGAGTGAGGCAATTTTAAGTTTGTATATGCTTATGTATAATATATGTAATGTGTATACATTTATCGTTATTTGGCAAATGATTATAAATACATATATGCATACACAAATTGATAACATACAATCTGTATGATTATTTTATAATAATTGAGAAATTTGGCACTTATACTATAAAAACATTATTTACATAAAAGTTATACATACATATTGTCTCATAATAATATAAAGCTAATTACAAGATTAAGAATTTATCTCAATAGCTATTAAGAGAAAAAAACATGTATAATTTGTATTTGATTTCAATGGGATTACTCTTTAGGAAAACAAAAGCCAATGGTTTTCACTCAAGAAACATGTTATGGCCTAGAAAAAATATATTTATAGTATCTCACTTGTGCAAATATTTTCCTTTCAACAAATTCTTCTATTAGCACGTACATTTATAGTCATAAAACAACCTTTAAGCCACACTTTACTAAGCCCTAAAGCAGACAAAATCAAATGCAGATGTGGAATGGGAGCCAAACAGATGCTGAAAAACCCTGTCAATATCCTAAAGGAATCCATTATCTATCAGAAAGAAACTTAATTTCTACTATAAAGAATTTGATTATGTATTGTTATACAAAATGTGATTAATGTTTTGTGGTGATTAATCAACTGCAAAATATATAATTATGCCATCTGTATTTTTCCAGCTTCTTGTCACTTAAAAATTCTGCAGGGGAGTTGGGAAGTGGGGGTATTGAGAACTTGTGGCATTTGGAGAGTTTTAAAGCCACAGGAGACTGGGGAACAGAATAACTTACAGGCCTGGTGCTTAGTGTAATGGAAAAGGACTAAGATAGTAAACAAAGAGACCCCCAAGGCCCACTGGTTCCCTGAACAGAAAACTGATAAGAGAGGCCACAGTCTCCCAGACACAGCAAGAATTAGCTCCCATAGACAAATTGCCATTTGTTCTTTGCTCCAAGAGCAGGTTACAGACTTCATCTTGACTAGTGGATGTAATGGCCTCAGTGCCAGGTAAGGGATTTATCATTTATTTCAGTACATCCATGAAGTAAATATTTTTGCCTTTCTATTCCACTACGATCCAAGATGTAAGACTGTGATTAACGTTTATGCCACGACCCATATTCATGTCTTCCTAAAAAATGAAAACTGTTAGAGTTGTATTTACACATGGGTCCCAGTTGGAAAAAGTTTCAATATAGTTGAGAGTTGCTTATTAAGTTGAATTCTGCAGAATACCTAGGGTTTCAATATATTATTTTGACCTAGATAATGCTAGATAATATGTTTCATTGATTTTTTTTTTCATTTTACTATTGCTTTGGGGGGAGCATTATGTAGAAAAAGCTTCAAATGAGTTCTGCTTCAAATTCCCAATGGTTTTTAGTAGGAAGAATAGCATTCTACTCATGTGCTAAAGGGTAGCACAGGGAGATGGAGTGATTTTTCTTAAAACATGCTTCCTTAACCCTGGATATACATCAGAATCACATGGAATTCATTTTTTAAATGCAAAGTCTGGGCACACATGCAGAGATTCTGCTTTAATTGTTCTGGGGTAGAGTCCAAATAGTGGTGTTTTTAGAAGCTTTAGATGTTTTAGAAGTTTTAGATAGTTTTCATGTAATGTTCATCCAGGATGGATATCCAATGAGCTAGTAGTTCTTCAAGTATGGTCCTCATACCACCAGCTCAGCATCACCCAGAAATTCATTAAAAATGTAAATTTTCAACAAAAAATGTAAATTATCAAGCTCCTCTATAGTCCCACTGAATCTGAAACTCTGGGCACGAGGTCCAGTGGTCTGTAATGTGTGAGTCCTACAGGTGATTTTGTTATATACTAACTGTTCCTCAAATTTTGGCCTGCATTGGAATCCAAATTTCTGACACAGTAGATTTGGGGTGAGGCTCAAGACTTTGTATTTCTAACTGGTTTCCATGTGATGTCGATACTGCTGGTTCAAGTCTCATACTTTGGGTCTCCAGGGTTAAAGTGCTGCAGCCAATGTAAGCTGAGACGAACAAGACAATATATTAATAGATGTTTTAGATATGTTCTGTATGATCCTTCTCAATCTAAGAATGACTCCATTTTTAAAAGACAGCTATTGTAAAAACTTTAGTTTCAAACTCCAGCAGATGATACTCACATTCTCTCTCCAGCTTCTAGAACAAAAGCTATGTGTGTATGCAGGAACTCATCTGTCTTGTTCATTACTGAGTGTGAATTGAGCACAGGTTAGTTCTCAATAAACATTTATGGGTTGAAAGAGAAAATGATGGATATTTTGTTTGAACTTACCAGTAAATTCAGTCTAGCAAAAGATTTGACTTACTCTTTTCAGTAGTTATTTTACTGAATGGACAGGCTGTTTTGAAATAATATTGACTAGATGTATATTGGTTAAAAGTTGGAATCTGTCCACTTTGGCAACAAGCAGATGTCTATTGACTAGATTTTTCGGTTCTGGACCAGTTATCGTGGAGCCTAGCAGACATCCACTGATGCCATCATGGCAGTTATTTTCTGTTTATATGGCCCTAATATCCATAAACCTTTATGCCTCTCAGTCACATGATTATGAATCCACCATCAGCAACTAACACAAAGCAGTTAACTACTAAAGGAGAAACCATCTCTTCCCTCATTCTTCCATGCGCATATTCTGATAATTAGAACAATGTGAATGGAAATATGGAAGACTGTCTGTGACAGTTTAATTGGGCTGGGAAGGTTCTTTCCCAATTTTTAAGCCTGTGAGTATGATATTACCTAAACATCAGCAAACATGAGAAGTAGTAACTATTTTCTGGCACACGGTTTGTGGAAGGATAATCCTTCTTTCTCTCCTTTCCTAAGAGAAAAGGAAGAAAATAATTTGAAGAAATAAAGATGTAGAAGAAAAGGAGGGGAGCTCCTCTGTGGGAAAGGTTGACACAGATGCAATCTCAAAAAAACACTCTTGTCACTACAGTGCAGTGCCTTGTACCATATACTGCTTTCAGGGGGATTTGGATGAAAGCTCCAACTAAACTATTTCATGGAGTTGAGAGCAAGAAGTTGATTGTTTAATATGTCATCTCCACCTGTGTGTAAAAACAGAGCATATTTAGCGTATGTTACCAAGATCTCAAAAGATGTCTGATTCTGTCAAATTTAGCATTTTTCATCAAGGTCTCAAAAAAAGACTTTAGATTTATAAAATTAGTGAGGGAGGTGTGATCTGGACCATGTGCTCAAGTCACCAGTTGGCTACCCAAAAAAAAAAAAAAAGTCAACAAGAAGCAATGTTACTAAATGTTGAAAAACAGCTTAATCACCCATCAGGATGACTCAAAAAGAAAATGTATTACTTATTTGGAATTTGGAGATGACTCCTAAAAGAAGATAGAAAGATGTGTTTAGGAGAAAGAGAAAGTAACTGGAATTCAGTGATCTAGGAAAAAATACTTAAAGGTGAGAAAAATAGTAAAATAGAACTACCACCACACAACCTAAATGCATATGCAATTATCTCAATGACTATAATAAAATGTATAATACATTAATGTATATGTAGTAAATAAATGATTATGAAATATAAGATGGCATTTAGTAGAGAATGAAGGCAGACACATATTTAGAAATTTAAAAAGAAAAATGAAAAGATATAAAAACAAGCTCTATCAGTCATAAATTGGGATAGACTTGACTTTGTGCATTAATTTTGTCACTGACCTTTAGAAGCACAACTGTGCAAAGGGCTAGAAAGGATATGACAATCAGGAGTTATCACACACTGTTGGCATATGCTTCCAGTTTCCATGACTTTGGAAAAGTAAATGTCTCTGTAATACCAAAAATATGGAAACGTCCACTGGGAGAAGAATTTAGAATTGTCACATATTGAAGGGTGGCTGGCTAGCTCAGTTGGAAGAGCATGCAACTCTCCATCTCAGGCTTGTGAGTTCAAGCCCCACACTGGGTGTAGAGATTACATAAAAACAAAATTTTTTTTTACATTTTGATCAATGAATGAAAAAGTACTGTATAAATACAGATTTACTTTGAAAATTTTAATGTTGAGTGAAAAAAGAAAGCTGCAGAATGGTAAGAACAGAATGAGAATATTTACATAAAGTGTAAAGCAAACAATGC